CAGAATTTGAAATAACTCTTTTCGCTTAAGATTTAACACAATAATCCTTAAAATGAAATAACACTTTTATAGAAAATTATTGGTGACTCTCCAACATCTAGACAGAGTACCAAGAATTATTTCTTTCGGAATGTTATTTTTATTTTATTTTTGTAATATCATAATTTTTTTAAAAAATATTATTCTTTTTTTATTATAAAATATTTTATCACCAAGTAGTAAATAAAAATTAAAGACAGAATAGTGCAAATAAATACTGATAATAACATGCTACCGTATGTATGCTAATGAATGTTATGTAAAATGAGATGCAATTTAAAAATTGGATTCTTAAGTATAATGAGACCACCCGAACTCTCCAATATTTAGGCAGAGCTTAGGTGCGACTGTTTATATTTAAGATCCTAATTTATTGTTATAATTTTTATTTATTAGTCTTACTATCAATGTGAATTACGAAATCGTGTGAGAAGACTTAACGAAGTAAAATTTCTTAAATACCCCATCATCTAGGTGGCATTCGGGAACAAATTACTTCAAATAGAATTTTCACACGTGTATTTAGGATTTTTAGGAGGTTTTGAGTAAGGTCTTGGGTAGAGGTTTTGAAGATTTGGTTTTAAGGTTTAGAGGGTTTTAAAACTTGAATTTTAGGAAATGGAAGGTTTAGGATTTTGATTTTAGAGTTTGAAGATTTTAGGGTTTGGATTTTGAGGTTTAGGGTATTGATTTAAGAGTTTGGATTTTAGGGTTTGGATTTTAGAGTTTAAAGGTTTGGGATTTCGGATTTTGGGGGGGGTTTTGGATTTTAGGGTGTTTGGATTTAAGGGATTTTGAAAATTAAAAATTAGTGTTTAAGGTTTCGTTTTAAGAAAATACAAACATCTTAAAAATCTCCAACATCTAGGCGAATTTTCGAAGCAAGTTCGATTTTAATGATTTTTAAAAATTAATTTAAAAAATTACTTATATTTATTTTTTACGAAAATTTATTAATAATAATTCCCCAACATCTAGGCGAAATTATTTTTTAGAAAAATATTTTTTTATTCCCTCCAACATCCAGGCAGAAAAAATAATAAAAATTATTTTTTTGAGCATTTTAATATATTTTTAATTATTATTTGTTTTCAATTTTATTATTATTTAAGCAATTAAACATTTATTCCACCAAATTTAAGAATTTATCATGCATCAATAAAAAAAATACTTAAAATAACAAAAATAATAATATAAAAAATTAAAAAAAATTTTTTTTTACCTAATTCGGCTGGATCGAAAAAGGGTTGGTTTGACTTAGGTTTAGTCGAACCGACTGAGGAGTGGTTCAGTCTAGTTCAAACAGGTTTAATTAGATCGATCAGTAGCTATTGAAGAACGAGTCCACGGGTCGAGTTGCGTGAATCTCGGGTCAGATCCGGGTTCACGCGCGGATTTTTCTAGCCTAAAACGGTGTCATTTTGGCTTGTTGCTTCCTATATAAAATAAAAAAAAAAAATTTTTTAGCTCATTTCAACCTTCTTCAGAAGAAAAAGGGATCCAGAGCTCTAGAGAGCTCTCTAGCTTCAACCAAAATTTGGCACCAAACCACCTTGCCGATCGCCGTCTGAGTCACCGCCGACAGTTGCTGTCGGTGGTTTCCAGTCGTCGAAAAATATCAAAATTCTTCAGAAGTTCTCTTCGACGCGATCTTTTCGGATCCGATCTCCTTTTCGCCAGAAATGATCCCAATCTGTATAAATCCGGGTCTAAAGTTTTCTATTCTCTCTCTTTTTAAAAAAAAAATTGAAGCTGATGATTTCTTTGCTTGTTTACAAGACTTTCTGGTCTGAGATTCTTCCTTACGGGGAGGATTGTTTGACTCTTTTTTTGTTTCTATTTTTTGTGTTTTTGTTTTCGTGGTTGGTGTGGGTTGAAAGATTTTTTTGGTCTGTCTGGGTGTCCGAGAGGGTATTGTGGGTAGTGTGTCTAAAGGTGAAGAACTGTCTGAAAGATTTGAGAAGGGATCTCCGAGAGAAAGGTTGAAGGGGTTTCGAGAGCTTTTTTTTTTAGAGAAGGTCCGAGGGAGCTTGAAGGGGAAGAAGTTGAGAGTTTTTGAATGAGTTCAAAAGAGGATTTGGGTGGCTATAGGTGGTTGTAGGCTGGTGAGCGTGGGTAGACAGGGGGCTGGTCAAAGGGCTGTAGGGTGGCTAGTCGGGGGCGATAGTAATGCCAGCCACCCTAATTTTTGTTTTGTTTTTATTTTTTTATATAATTTATAATTATTTTATTTTATTTTTTTTAAATATTATTATTATTATTAAAATTATTAATATTATACTAAAATGAAAATAGTAAACCCAAACAAAATCGATGTTTTTTCTTTTAATCGAAAAAAAAATGATCCTCTTGAGCAGCAGGGGTTTGCAAGAAATGAACTTTGGAACATTGACCCTGATCACCTCTTTTTTTTCAACAAACTCATCTAATAAAAGTTCACATTTGATTTGACATGATTTTAAGGACTTAAGGTGTTGGAATTGAATCATTTAACTAAAAATCCAACACTTTACCATTTATATATTTACATTATTGCCTTAAAATAACTTTTTTCCTTTTTATCTTTTAGAATCTCTAGATTTAAAAAAAAAATCATAAACAATTGTTAAGGAGCATCATATACATTACAATACTAAGATTTATAAGAGTACATGACCAGATAAAATTATATCATATATTTTGATTATTTTTCCTTTGTAATGCAATGGTATATGTATGTGTGAAAGTAATTAAATGGCAAATAGAATGTGCATAAATAACTTTGTATTATAGTGCAAATGACACATATAAATACTCCCTGTACTTTTGTTCTCTTTTGCTCTTCCCATAATCTTTTATACATCGAGGGTTGTTTTAGATTCCATCACACCTCCTACGATGGAATCTAAGGGGGTTTTGTTCTGTTACTACTCCACGAGATGCATTTAGAGCCAAAACCTCCGCTACTCTTCTAGTCGGATGGGAGAGGAAGGGGTCCAGTTAAATACCTTGGATTTTAAGGTAATCGGTTGTCTTAGTATAAAATTAAAAGTAAAAGATATGTTTTAATTGATTACTTTTGGTGGGACAATCAACTGCTCTATCCAATTCATTACCACCGTTACATTTGTTCTCAAACTCATATCTTTAATATTAATTTTGATATTATAATATTTAATTTTATCGTTACATTATTTAAGATATTTTCAATTTCATCGTCAATTTAAATAAACTTTAATTCTTTTTTTTGTTCATTTACTTAAATTTTGGTGATATATTAATTAATACTGTAATATTTTTTTAGAATTCTTTTACTAAAAACAATTGCGTAACTACATAATTAATGAAATTTGAATTAAATAAGATTTATTTTAATAAGTGATATTTGTCTTCCTAAATTTTAAAAAATTTTAAAAAATAAAAGAATATAAAAAAATTTATAAAGGTAAAAATATTCAATATTGAGATTTTAAAATTTAAAAAAGATATAATTACATAATTAATGAAATTTGAATTAAATAAATTAACTTTTTAAGTTTGAAATTTGTGTTATAATTTATTCTTTATTTTAAATGGATAATTTTATCTATTTAATCAATTTAAGTTTAAAATGATTGAAAGAAATATTAATAATGTAAAATTAAAACTTGAAAAATTATTAAAAAAACACTTAAAAAATTTAAAATTAAGTCTTTCTATAAAAAGATATAGCCAACTAAAAAAAAAAAAAAGAGAGTTAATAATAAACAATGTCAATACATATACATACATACATATATATATATATATATATGTATGAATGGATCTTCTACTTAAATTTTTAAAGTTTTGGATAACTAAATAATTTTATATATATATTTTGATAAATAATTTAAAATTAAAAAATATTTTACATGTCATTATAAAGAAGAATTTTAAAAATTTTACTATGTATCAAAAAAAATATTCACATAAGCATCCATATCAACAAAATTTATATGGTAACCATGTATTTTATAATATCGGTTTACGTTATGAATGAGTTATGAACTATAATAAATGTTTAATATAATATTTGAATTTTAAAAATTTTTAATGTAATACTTAAATTATAATGTTAACTAATATAGTACTTAAAAGATTGTTTGTGCATCATGTGTCATCATTTGGAGATAATCACGATAGGGATAAGTGATAAATTCATAATTTAAGTATTATATTGGAGATTTTTTAAGTTTAAGTATTACATTGAATATTTTACTATAATTTAAGGATAATTTATAACATTAATCCTTTGTAATATAATATAAAATATTAATATTATGAATGGTCCTTAAACTATATTAAAATGTTAAATGTGATACTTAAACTTTAAAACTGTATATGAATTATGAATATATTAATTAATGTGGTATTAAAAGAGTTATTTATCCATCACATATCATTATTTAAAGTTAACTATATTAGGGTAATATTTTATTTTCTAATTCAAATATTTTTTTAACATAATTCATAAATAAAAATTAATTTACTTATCAATAAATATATTTATTAATTTAATAATTTAATAATATTTTATTATAAAATAAATAAATATTATTAATATTTTACAAATTATTAATTTTAAACAAGATTAAAATTATTAATTTATATAACTATTACAATATGCATAATTATTTTCATATTTTTAAACAAAATAATTTTTAATTTTTAATAATACCAAATACAATGATATTTAATTTTTAATAATTAATAATTATTAATCAAATAAAATTATTTCAAATCTTAACAGTTAAGATCAATTTGGTAATAAAATCATCCAATTTAGTAATAAGATCACTTAGTGATTCCATTAACATAATGATCATATAAAATAATATTAGCACATTAAAAATTTTTAAAATTCAGCTACTATATCAAGATATCATTATAATTTAGGGATCATTTATCATATTAACCCTAATATGATTTAAATAAAATAAATAAATGATTAGTTAAAAAACAAAAACCACATAAAACCCTACCACCTCAAAGAACAAAAACCCATTAAAAGACTAGTCCTGTGCTTTTTATCTTCTTCTTCTCAAACACTTTGTTAAATTACTGACAGAGATAGCTGAAGTGAAGAGGAAAGAAAGAAAATGGAGCAAGTGGCAGAGAGGGAAGCCGAAGAGTTGACGCTGGTCGCAAGAAAGCCTTGCTTTGATCTCCCAACTGCTTGCCCTCTTTGTTTACCCGTTTTCATCTATCTCAAGCTTGCCCACATTCCCTTTCGTTTGTCTTTCAATTCCATCTTCCCTGATTCAGGTTTTCTTTCCTTCTCTCCTTTTCTTTTCTTCCCCATTCAATTGGGTTTCTTTTATTGGGTTATTTGATTCTCTTAGATTTCTTCTTCCTGGTTATACAATGTTGCCATGGGAACATTTAGCCAAACGCTCGGCTGCAGAACTTAACAGCTAACCTAAAACATTGAATTCTCTAGGATGTTACTTTGGGGTTGCTCTTGTAATCTAGGTTGGGGGTTTGGGGAGGATATATTGAGTGCATTGATTCATTACAACTGTAAATTTTCAATTGGAAGCAAACATGATCCTGGTGATTTTCTTTTTTCTGTTAAACAACCTTTTTGACATGTTTCTGTAAGCATACGTATTTGAGATATCTATAAAGCTTGAAATTGATGATTACCACCATTTTTGTGTTTTTTATAAACCAGACAATGATCTTACTCTTACTTTATTGTTAAGTTTGGGGCACAGTGGTGGAATGTGATCCATATATTCAACCTCACAACATGGAAAAGGTTTAGCTATTGTTTTGAATATTTAAATAATTGGTTGAAGTCCCTTATTTTGAGATATCACCACTGGTCACTGTCCAATAGCCTGCTTATTACTATTATGTTTTACTGACCTATTGCTGTATCATAAACGTCTGCATGTCAATTGTGTTTATCACATGCAAATTTGTATTTGGGTAAATAGATATATTCATATAATGCATTTTTATTTCTATGTCAGACCAAATTCCTTATGTTGAATCTGGTGTTTATGTTGCCTACAATAATGAGAACGGTGGGGTTATTGATCGTTTAAAGCAAGATGGTATTGTTGATCTGGACTCTGAATTCGAATCTGTCCCTGATTGGATATCAACAAAAGCAATGATTAGCTCTTGGCTAGCTGATGCAATGATGTATGAGCTATGGGTGGGGTCTGATGGAAGATCAGCCTACAAGATTTATTATTCTGATCTTTCCTGGCCAATAGGAAAAATTCTATTCCTAAAGCAAGTATATATCATAAAACAGCGTCTTGGAATAACTAAAGACAATGCCGAGCAGAGAAAAGATGAGGTCCCTCTTTTACCTTTGATTTTTCCTTGTATTTCTTCTTTCTCTTGTGTGAGTCTGCATGCATGTACACATGAAGTCAGCAACGCTTACATTTGTGCTACTAAGAAACAGTAGAGATGTACTTTCATATACTGACATCTGTGTTGAGGGTCAGTACTAGATTTTCAAAATTGTAATTATTTATGTTCTCCTTATGGGCAGATTTACAAGAGAGCAAAAATTGCTTACTGCGCTCTGTCTACTAGGTTAGGAGAACAGAGCTTCCTCTTTGATGATAGGTAATTCCTATTGATATCCTGGTGTAGATTTTAAAACCTGTTTGCTATAGTACTTTTGAGTAGTTTCTTAAAAGGAGTAGTGTTTTACTTAAACCTGATGATGATGTAGACAACTGCATTATTACATGTTTGCAGGCCATCAAGTTTGGATGCAACTTTTCTTGGACATGCTTTTGTCACCCTTCATGCATTACCTGTGAGTTACTTCAGAAGCTATACTATTGTATTCTAGCTGTTATCTCTGGAAGATGATTTTGACTAATCATATGGTTGATTTAAATCATTATAAATGCTAAACTTGGATTCAAACATCTTATGTGACCTATGTTGAGTAGGACTATTTGCTTCTGTTAAACATTCAGTAAGCTGAAAAAACTTGAGTTACTGGGAAGATGCATAATTGCCAAAGTTTTGCTGTCGATGGGAGCAACACTATGCAAATTTACATAGCTGTAGACTGTAGTTAAGGGAAACATTCCTGCTGATTATTTTTCTGCAATAATCTTTATAGGTTTTGCAGATAAGTGGTGTGTTTGTCATGACAGATATTGTTAAAATGTTCATTTATGTCAAACATCAAAGTCATTTTATATCTTTCATGGCAATTATTAACAATTTGATAGGTTCTTATAATAAGATGTACATGGTACCTGATGCCTGATGGTGTATATTGTAATGATTGTGGCTGCTTTTACCTAAAGATGGAAATTATGAGTTTAGGAACTTTTATGATGCTTTGCTAAACTGCCATCATAGCCAAACACGAAATACATGATTCTGAGTCTCCAGGTCCACTAAAAGCAAAAGGTGGTATAGTAAGTTAAAAATCACTCCTTAGGATCTTTGCTATAATGGGATAGTGATGATTGACTTTATGCTTTGTGATTTTAATCCTGATTTCAATTTAGATTCTGCTAGAGATATTTCCTCTTGAAAAGAAAAGAAAAGAAAAGAAACATAAGTAGTAGTCAAGGAAGAATTCAAATAAGAATACAGAAGATCAAGGAAGAATTTAAATAAGAATATAGAGGATCCTATATATGAATGAATAGAAGTCCAGTATCACAGCTTCTACAATACAGAACTTTCCCCTTTTCAAGTGTTAGGGGATTTGCTGATATATTCATGGAAAGTACTGTATGCAGAAGTGATCTATTTACTTGCAATTTGAGCTACTCTTAATATGGTTATTGAATGTGCTAAACCATAGACTCAACCTTAGACCATATAGTAAGTTTTGTTTAGTAGAGAAGAAAGATAGCAATTAAATTTAATTAAAATATATTCATTCTCCATTTCCATCTTTCCTACCAAGCAAAGCCCAAATGCATTTTTTTTTGTATCTTTTGGACTTATTTGAAACATGTTGCAATTCTGCACTACTAGAACACATCAGTGCTTCGAAGCAAACTCTTGGAGCATGATAATATTGTCAGATATGCCGAAAAACTTAAAATGGAGTTGATTGAGTCTGGTTCATCATCTACTGGTGCACAATTTCACTCGGTCCCTTCATCATCAGCTCCGAGAAAAGGTCCCTCAAGTTGGAGTAAGTTAGTGCATCTGAAAGTGACTTTTTTTTTTCCCCTCTTTTTGTTAATTAGTATTAATTACTTTGGTTTATGGCTGTCTGGTCTTGGCCTTCATCATCTTCTTCCTTTAATAATTTTCCTTATACCTATACTTTGCTTTTGGATGTAAAAAGTTTTATTTTATCCTACAATTTACAGTTATAAAACTTATCCTTTTATGCCATTTTAAATGAAAAGAATTCTAAGAATGATCAGTGTTTTGGCTGTTGTGCTACTGATGTCAGGAAAAATTCAGGCTATATTATTTTCAGGAAACAAAATTTATTTTGATATTTGATTTTATGAGCATTGAACTGTAGTATTGATATGGTTATGTTGTTTTACTGATGTTTTTGATGATAATGCTAAGTCTGCTGCTAAGTCTGGATATGCATTATGCAACTTGTGATGCCTTTTTGTAATTTGAGTTTATTCCTATATGCTGCTGGATATTGGTGTCAACTAACTCATTTTATCAAGACAATTTGGAGCTATAGTAAACATGGTTTCCTTCCTTTTGTCCCCCATTAGGTTCAAAGCCAAAGAGCAAGCCCAAGAAGGAGAAAACAGAGGAGGAGAAAACATTCAAGAGGAGGGTAAAATATTTTTTAGCAGCCCAGCTACTCTCAGTTCTACTTTTTCTCTCTTTGATGGGTGGATATGATTCTGGTGACGTGGAGCTCTACGATGATGATGAAGGCCTCGCTTTAGATTGAGACAATCTCCCATTTTCCTACAAACATGGTCCTCATTACTTATATTTTTACATGATTACCGAGAAGGCTAGTAATCTGTTGAGGTTGAATTTGTAATATTGTATTACAATGTGGAAAATAAGAATATTAATTTAAATGTATGATTTGTACAATAGGCGGCATATTTTGGTTGGTATCTTTGCAATTTGATGTGTTGTATTTTTTTTATTTAAATGGGTGAAGGGAATAAGTACTATATATTAGAGGGTTCAGGAGTTTTCTGTAGACCTTAAACCATCTGTGGTGCAATAATGCATTTGATTATGGTTGGTGATTTTTATTTTTATTTTTCAATTAAACAGGCGAGGGGTTTTTGTGCTTTGCTTCGTAGTAGTAGATCACCTTTCCGGACTGATCAAGATTGAAATGATATGGATACATTTAACTCGACTACGCCTCCGTAGTGGTAGACAGAACTTATTAAACATTTTAAGCAAAAAATGAAAAAAAACAAAAATTTCTGCTGAAAGAGTTGAATATTTAAAAATGATTAAAACTCTTTATAAAGATCATATTAATATATCTACTAAATTTAATAATTATTATATGTTTAATTACGATACAACAAAAATAATAATGATTAAAGCATCAATGAAAACATAATTGTGTATTTTATACTTTTACCACTTAATGGTAAAGCTGTCATTTTCTTTGAGGGCTACAATAATTTTATTAACTTTCTACAGATAATGATATCTTTTATAAAATTATAAAGTACAAATTATAATTATAATCAAATTTATATATACAAAATCATTAAAAAATCAAATAAATTAATCAATAAGTTACAACATAAATAAAAAAATTTAATATAAAGTTGAATCAAATCTATACATGGTAAGACTTTGAACTCAAAACTTTAATGTTTTAATTTTTCTTCTTTATCACTAAACCAGGGACTCTTAACAATAATGACATATGTAAATTATAAAAAAATAAAAATTTTTATTTTCTCTGAAAAATATTTTTTGAAAGCCTATTTAAGCAAAAAAAAAAAAAAAGCCTATTATTAAGAAAAAAAGAGCCTAAATACTAGTTTAATCTAAATGTACCTTAATTTTTCTAAATAAAAAAGTCAATTTAAAAAGAATTTCAGTTGTAATAATTAATAAGGTTGTTTAGTGGTTTATTAATCTCGTAGTAAATAATTTTGATAATGGACTAAATAGGCTTTAAAATAATTTGAACCAAAAGCTACAAATTGAGGCAGCCCAAGTATTTTTGCCCTAGGCAAGAAAGCAGCTGCCCCTTTCCTCCTCTGTGAAATCCAGCCACCAACGACGGAAAACCAAAGCAGCGGTCTCCCTTTCTTTTCCCTTGTATTCCATCGTTGTTAAGAGGGATGAGGCAGCTAAAATTTCATGAAAAGAAACTTTTGAAGAAAGTAAATTTTTTGGAATGGAAAAGAGAAGGTGGCCACCGAGAGAATCTCGTTATGCACCGTTATCATGTCACTGGCCGTGATGATTACAAGAAGTATCTCATTTCTCAACCTCCTTCTCTTGATTCTTGAGTTGGGTTCTTTTTTTTTTTTTGGTTAATTATTGTGGTTGAAATCCAAAACAGGTATTCGAGTTTGTGCCGGATGGCGCAGAAGTTGGTTAATGTATTGAAGCAGATGGACCCCAGAGATCCTTTTCGAATCGAGATGACTGATTTGCTGTTAGAAAAGCTGTGAGTTTTCTTCATTGAAATATGATTATATCATACTACTTCTGGTTTAAGCTAGTAGTGGCTGTGCCACTAGGATTTTTTGTTCTTTTTTCAATATTCTTTTGGTATAAAAGAAAAAATATATTGTAGATGTTCTGAATGAATATTTCATGCTGTTAACCTGTATAAATGCATAATAGACCATGCAGAATGGGATTACTTCAGGGTATTGCTTGTCGGTGTTTTTCATTTGCTGCATGCTTTTTTTATTTGGATTGCTGTAGAAAATGAATTTTAGTTGAAGAACCGATGCTGCCAAGGAGGATGAACGAAGTAGGGAGAGAGGAGAAGAGGGGAATGAGTGAGAAAAGGGAGGGAATATCGATTTCCAAACATCCCAAAGTTTGAATGAAACTGACAAAATACATAATACAACTTATACTGACAGTCAGTATATCCTATTCTAATAAATAGGAAATTTCGAGGATCAATGCTAGACGCTAGTAAAATCCTAAGAACACATGCCCGAAAGGCGGTTTTAAATCTATGATGCCCTGCTTTTCTTCATATGCTTTTGCAAAGAAAACAAAAATTATTATATTCATACTTCAGATCATTGTGCTTTGTCATTAGTATCACCTGAATCCTTTACTGTTCAATGATAGATATTATTCGTTAATTTATATGTACATGTTGTTATGAGATCATTTAATGGAAAAGATCAAGATGTTAGATTTTGAAATATTTGACTTGAGATTTCCTTTAAATGCATGAGTTTGCATATCTTAAATAAAAGACTTGATTCATCTGTCATTTCTCTATCACTGGCAGATACAATATGGGCGTAATTCCAACTAGGAAAAGCTTGGCTCTATGTGATCAGTTATCAGTATCATCCTTTTGTAGGTAATTGAATGATTCAACAATTGAATAATTATTAACCTGGCATGGTGCTCATAACGAATGCCAAGAACAGTTAAGATTAGACTCTGCTTTGCAATGGCTATTGTTTGACAAAAAATTTCTTTTACTGCAATAGTTAAAGTTGAGGTTCTTTTGCCTGAATGATGGTAGTTCTTAATGTGCCTTTCTTCTTCCAAGTAGCCACTCTTTGCGTTCTTCTTTGCTTGCAGACGTAGGCTTTCAACTGTCTTGGTTCACCTAAAGTTTGCCGAGCACTTAAAAGAAGCAGTCACATATATTGAGCAGGGACATATTCGAGTGGGTCCAGAGACAGTGACAGACCCAGCATTCCTTGTAACAAGGAACATGGAAGACTTCATTACATGGGTAGACACATCTAAGATACGGAGGAAGGTGCTGCAATACAATGAGAAGTTGGATGATTATGATGCAATGAACTGAAATATCAGAGTTTAGTTTTCCATTTTGTTTTCTATATTTTCAGTTTTTTCTCTGAAGGTGATTGAGGCTTTGTTATTTTATATATTTGTCAATTCTGTAGGTTGGGAAAAGAGCTTATTTTGTTGTTTCAGGGACTGTTTTCTTTCTATATATTTGAAGATTTTATCTCAAGCTTTGGGCTTTCCATATGATATAATAGGGAGCCTTGTTTGTTGCACTAAGCGATGGGGGATTATTATTAATACTAATAAAAGTAATGGAGGCTTAAGATACAAGATGCTTGGATTCTATATGTATATATGGGTATTTTTCTTTTTCATATATTCATGTAATTCGACAAATCACAATATTATAAAAGTGAGTTGAGTCAAATGATATAATATTTTGGCTACATTCATTGCCAAGTGAGGTTCACTTATAGTTTTTTTTAATATAAGAAATAATATTTTCTTCTTAACATTAAATTTCTAAATGGTTTCAAATTTTAAGTCTTTTCTTAATAACCACTTTTTTCATATTTATTTTTTCTACTAAATCTATTTTTTTTTGTCATTTTTTTTCAGAAAGTTTAAGAAAAACAAAACAATTAGTTATATTTTTAATCAATTATTATGGTTGGTTACATGATTCTCCTCATTAATTAGTTATTTTATTAATTTTAAATAATTAAAACTTAATCTAATATTTAATAAATCATTATACTAACCAATTCTTGAAACAAAGTTATAGTTCTATTATGTTTTTATTATTTAAGTGTGATTATTATTCATATTGATTTATATAATCACTTTCAATCACAGTGTTCAACTTAACTCTATTTTGTTATTTTTTTAAAAATTAAAACATGAAAATCTAATTGCTATGATAAATAATTGCATCAATTTCACTTTCTTATTTGTAATTACTGTATCGTTGTGGTAAATAACTACATTAACTTCACTTTCTTATTTGTAATCACAAAATTATTAAATCACTTGAGTTTTTATTATTTCTTTAGATGAGTTTTATCTTACGTATCTATTGGTTAATGGTGAGAAATAACTCACAATAAGTAGCGAATATCAATGTCTACTGATTAGATGTCAAAAGATTTTTACTAAAAATTAGAATTGTCTTATCATATATTGGAGGTTTTATATATATATATATATATATACACATTTTCTTTACGCTTAAAACCACTTTTATTTCATTCTTTATTTTTTACAATTTTTTGTTTTATCTATAAATAAATTTTTTAAAGTTGGCTCATTTAGCATTTTAGTTGAATTTTCAGATAGTACCTAGATTAAAATATTACTAGAATTTATAAGGTTTAGGACGGATCAAATATATTACACAATTTATTTCTAGGTTTAATATAGTTCTATCTTCTCAAGTTTATTTAATTAATTGTGGTTGATGGTGGTATATATGCATTATATGTGTTTCTTACATGAAATTTGAAACATTAACTAAAAGCAAATGGTTAAAAATAAAATATTAATAGTAAAATAAATACAAGTAATGAAATTTTAGAAAAATTGTGAGTGACAAATTTTTTAAAAATTTCTAGGTGATGAATTTTCATCTAATTACACAAAATTTTTTCTACATTTTGTAATCATAATTTTAAATTTCAAGAATCATATGTAAATATTAAACTATTAAATTTATTCAATTGCTATTTGTTTGGGTAGACATAATTGATAAGCAAAAGTAATAATAATCTACTGTAAAGATTAGGTCTTTTCTCACTTTTCTCTTATTGATGGCTCTTAATGCGTATATAATTAATTAAAAATGAAGATGGAACCTTAGCTAATTTTATAAAAACCCTAAAAGCCTCTTTACCAAAGGTTTATTGGGTCAATGGCCTACACAACCTTCAAACCACATTGACGTAATAAGACATACAAAACCTACACATAAGTAATCATAATTAAATTATTTGAGTTCTTATGCATGTCTTGTATTAGACTAAATTTATTCATCGATTTATTAAATTATAAAATCACCAATTAATAGTAGCCTATTTACCAAAAAATTCTAACAATCTCCTAGTTGGGCAATATTAATTGACTTGTTTGGTTTTAAGAAATCATAATTTAGAAAACAAGGCTCCAGGTTAATTAACTTTACTTTGGTGTGCCATAATTTTAAAACCAATTTAGCCCTTAAGACATTAACTTAATGATCCTATCCAATAAAACCATCTGATACCAAATGATAACAACCTTTATGTCTTTATTGATATATGACTAATCCATAGTTATAAGTACCAAAGACTTTAAAAATAATGGATTTTAGTGTGGTTGTGTAATAAAATAACACCTAAATGTGATTTTAATGAGTTATTTTCATTGCAGTTCTCTTGTCAATTTATTTAAACTTACTAAAAAATTTCATGATATCTAAATGTGCCTGTATGTCTCCTTTTTATTCTCGAGAATACTTATTGGTATCATTTATGAAATAAACCCAAATGACATTAAAATCGTACTTGAGACAGATACTAAGTTTTAAGATTTTATAATATGACATGTCAATATAAGATGTGGACATGCAATTAGATATATACATAAATAACAACTATGATGAATGTATAAAACAATTATGCTTAGCTTTATGATACTACATAGACTTATTTATCTAAAACTATATCTTATAGGTAATTAGCAATTATATGTGATGTATTTAACAAAATAAAAAAACCCAAAACAACAGTGGTTTCAAAGTCAAATTTATAATTCATCATGGACATAATCAACCCAAAACCTTAACAGGTTCTATTTTCCATACTTATAGATATCCAAGTTATGAATTGGTAATACCATATTCCTCACATAAAGAAATTATGTCATCATATAATCAAATCACAATGACTTCCACTGATTCAGTAAATCATAGAAATGCTTTAATCAGGTTCTGAATGATAAATAAGAAGCATAACAATAAATGAAATCATAACAAAATCATGTATTGTCTGCCCTTATGCCAAATGTGATAACTACTAATGATTTTTAGACTTGTCACTTTAATAAACCATTTACAAAATGACTGACATATTATGAACAAAATTTTCAAATTTATATGTTCACACAAATTAAAATTCTCATTGTTTCAACATGAGATCATTTTCAATAATTTTGAAATTTATTGGTTTATCAATTTTTTAATTCTTAAATGTGCCTAAACTAATAGCTTATAAATTTTCACTAATCTTAACACGTATGATATCTCCAAGTCAATGATTTTAGAGCATATATGAGTTCTTAGTACTTTAAAACATATGCAGAAGAGCTTTGTCATAACGATTTTTTAGTTGCTAGAAACAAAAATAAGAGTTGCCACCAAAATTTTTTTATGTGATTGGTCATCGATCTTATTTTTAAATAAACCCCAAAATTAATTAAGATTTATTTAAATAAATCTTTTAGTCTATGAATCAAAGTTGGATTTGAGAATACAGTTACGTATAGGTAAGTTACAGCACCCCCATAGTACTCATCCGAAAATAGTATCAATTGATTTTGTATTATTCATTAAGTCTAACAAAATTTCTCAAAAAAAATTTCAAAAAAATTTAATATTAGAAATTATTTTTAAATTACTCTAATATTTTAGTATAAATTTAAGAAATTTTTTTACCTCATGAGTATTCAAGACATTTATTTAGAATATTAAAAAAGCTCTGTTGTTAGATTTAAAGACATATTTTTTAGTTATTTTTTTATTAAAATCTTTGATATTGGACAATCTTCTAAGTCATCTAATATTTTAGCAGCATTTATAAAATAACAACACATTGAGGAATTTATGTAGAAATTGCTATTGCAACTTTCTAGTAATTCCATCATTGAAAGATTCCAAAATTTAATTTTTTAGTTTTAGGAAAAACTGATATTTCAAGTTTTTCTTAAATATTCTCAATAATTCATTCTAAGGAAAATTTGATATTTCAACTTTTTTCTTAGCATTTTTTAAAATTATTTTATTCATTTTTATTCTTAAAGAATTTAAGAAAAATTGATATTTCAATTTTTTCCTAAATATTTTCAAAATTTTATTCTAAGGAAAATTTGATATTTCAATTTTTCCTTAGTATTTTTCTTAAAAAAAATTTTTATTCTTAATCTTTTTTGTTTATTTTCAAAGAATTTAGAAGAATTTGATATTTCAATATTTTCCTAAATATTTTTCACATTTATTATAGATACTTCATTCAGTTTGGGGTTTAAACCAATTTGGCTTGGTCTATTTCAAAGCCTAGATGCCCATTTTTTATTTTTTATTTCACTTATTTATCTCTATTTTTTAATTTATAATTTTAAGTTGTATTTATCTTTGTTTACTTTTTTAATTTCTTTATCTTTATTTTCTTTTACTTTTATTTCATTTATTTTTATTTTTTTATCATTACTATTTATGTTTATTGATTTATCTTTAGTTTTTGATTTACCTTTCTTATGATAAAATTTAAAATTAAAAGAAAAGAAAATTTTGAAAATCACATAATAATGAAGGAGGCTGGGAAATAAATGGGATTTTATCTTTAAGTGATAATTCATGTTTTTGAGTTAAATTGAGTAGGGATTCTTGGAGATAAATTTTAATTCTTTTAGGGATTATTATTCTTTGGTGATAATGTATAATTTTCAAGAGTTTAATTGCTATTCAATTTATAATATTTATCAAGTCAAAGAAATGTTCTTATAAATAGTATAGCGTTCAACAGTAACAGACATAATAATCACAAAGGAGAATTTCATAGTAAAATGTTTTAGGCAATTCAATTCCAAATTTTAGGCTTTTTCAGTTCTTAACAATATTTCAGCAAGATTCTTAGGCTTCGGTAAGATTTTCAAATTGTGGTGATATTTCCAGTGAGCATTGAAGAGGATTTTGACGATACCTCTAGATTCCAACAATGATTTCCAATTTCCTAAGCATCAATTTGATTTAACATGACCCATAGTGTTTGACCCAAGATTTGTCACCTATTGAGCTACTACTGAGCCGAGCAGTTAAGACAAACCAAGTTGCTACACTAGTCACGAGCTAAGTCGTTTCTTAAGTAAAGCCAAGCAAAAAATTTTAGGTATATTTTTATTTATTTATTAATTTATTTTAAAATACATAATGTATTTTAAGAAAAATAATTTTTGAAAATAAAAAATAAAACTTTACAAACATATTGAAAGCTTTGGTAAAAAAAAACTGAAAAGAAAAATAAAACCTTACCAACATATTGAAGGGTTTTAAATTTTAACAAAATAATTTTGAATCTGAAAAAAAATTAAATCTTACCAACTTATTAAAAG